CTCAAATTTCATCTAACAAAATAAGGCAGGCACTTTATACTTTACACTGTTCGCAAATGAGGAAATTTATTTCCAACATTTAAAATATGTTAACAGACATCTCAGTGGAACATTATTATCATCATTATTAATAACTGTCTAAAGATGGTTTTTGAAGAAGAGTATGATAATCGCTTAAAGAGAACGAGGACTTTGAAAGGTAAGTATGTCAAACCTACCAGCTCATTGCTTGTCGATGTGAGTCTTAGTTTTTCTTCAATTTCCTTTCCAATTTTCTGAACAGTTACCTGAGTCTGTTTAATTGCACACTGGGCTCTATGAAGCCTAGAAACACAAGTTGTAGAAAAATTTAAGTGAATTAATTAGAAAGTCTAAACACAGAGCCACAGACATGAATTATAAATCTTGTAGCATAAATAGAACCAATCCTAAACAAACTGATTATTTCCCAATTCACATATATAATGAAACAAGAGGGATTATAACAAACTCTAAAATACAAATGCTCTGAAGCACCTGTCTACCCCTCTCTGCTACATTCTAGAGGTTTGGAAGCACTCCTAGAAAACGGTCTGGCTGAGGGAGTGAGGAAAGGCTTAGTCAGTTTAAGGACCCGAAATCAAACCAGCACCCATGTAAAGGCAGAGCACGAGAGCACACACTTGTGATCTCAGCAGCACTGGGGACAAAGGCAATTTAGCCAAATGAAAGCTCAAGGTTCAGTGAGAAACCCTGCCTCACTGCCTCAAAATTAAAATAGAGAGCAATTGAGGACACCTCTGCCCTACAAACACACACACACATACACACTCACACTCACACACACACACACACACACACACAAACAAACAAAATCTTAAATCTGTCAGATATCAAGACTTCTGTAAGTTACATGATCAAGGCAATATAGTGCTAACAGACAAGATAAAAATTGGATCAATAACCAGGTACTCTTCCTACAGTCCCAGTTGTTTGGGAGACTGAGGCAAGACTGCTTGAGCCTAGGATTGTGAGACTAATCTGCACACAGTAGTGAGATTCCTTCTCAAAAGCCACAAATATGTTCATAAACAAAGGGAATATAAGACTGTTTAATAGACCTAAATGTATATGCAAGCTAATTTCTGACAAACACATGGAAACAAATCAGTAAAGAAAACAAAGGTATGGGAGCACAGAAAAACACACACACACAAAATTATCATCTTCTACCTCACTGCACACAAAAAATTTAAGAAGGCTCACAGTAAAATAAAAGCTCAAATTGTAAACCATCTAGCAGAAAATGTAGAAGAATCTCTGGAGACTAAGACACAGGCAGTCTTATTAGAGAAGACACAAAAAGGTTTAATCATAAAATTAACAATGGATAAATAATAGTTTACCAAGATCAGAGATGTCTATTCGTCTAGAGATACCACTAGGAAAATGAAAACTCCATCTACAGACTGGGAGAAAACAGGTACGAAACCTCTATCTGACAAAGGACTGTGCCTAGAATTGTAAAGAACTACAAATCAGTGAGAAAAGGACAGCCCAAGGAAAAATGACCAAACAAGTAAAATAAATTCTTCACAAAAGAAGGTGTAGCCAACCAGGCTCATGCCTATAATCTTAGCACTCGAGAGGCTGAGACAGAGATTCACTGTGAGAGCATGACCAGGCAAGGCTGAACAGTGAGTTCTAGGACAGTCTAAGATACACAGTGAGACCCTGTGTCAAAAAACTAAAAACAGAACAGGAGGAAGGTCAGGAAAAAAACCTACCTTTCTCAGTCTCACAATCAATGTGGACTACAGAACCTGGTCACTGATCTATTTTTCTATCTGTAAGCTAGTACCATGACTAACAAAATTAAATCAACAGAATAACAAACCGGCCGATGATGAACAAGGCCAAAGCAGCAAAAGTCTACTACAAAACTCAAGACCAGAAGAAGGCTGTGCTGCCAAATTCTAATAGGCCTTCAAAGAACTAAGACCAGTGCTCCTCAAACCAGTCTGTAAGACAGCAAGGGAAGAACAGTCCCAAAGTCACTCTTCATTCTATGAAGACAGCATTACTCTGAACCAAAAACCAGGTAAGGGACCAAAAAAAAAAAAACTCTAGACCAGTTTCCCTGATGAATATAGAGTTAAGAAAATTTTAACAAAATCTTGCAATCCAAATTCAATAGCATTTTAAAAATATCATACACAGTGGAGCATGGTGGCACACACCTTTAATCCTAGCACTTGAGAGGCAGAGGCAAGTCGATCTCTGTGAGTTCGAGGCCAGCTAATTCCAGGCCACTAGGGCTACAGGGAGATCCTGTCTCAAAAAGACCACACACACAAAAAAAGAACCCAGCATCATCAAGGTGGTTTCATACCAGGGATGCAACAACTACACAAATCAGGAAATACATAGCATATACACAGACTCACATAATCATCTCAATAGATAAGAAAAGGGTTTTGACAAAGTTCAACATTCCTTCCTTGATAAATCCCTATAGAAACTACAAATAAAAAGGAACATAACTCAGCATAATAAATGCTCTACATGACAAAGCTACAGCAAACATTATAATAGGGAAAAACATTTCCTCGAAAATTGAGAACAAGTCAAAGGTGTCCATTCTCTCCACTCTTAGAGAAAGAATAGAGAGGAAAGGAGGAAGTCAAACTGTCCCTATTTGCAGAAACTATAATCCCATACTTACTGGACAGATGCTTTAGCCCAGCTAAGCTGTGGAGCCAGGCCTTAAAAGACCTAAAGACACCACAGGAAAGCACTTAGATCTTGTAAACACTTGAAGCAAAGCAACAGGATACAAACATTTAAAAGGCAGTAGCTTTTCTACATACTGATGAGATCACCAAGAAAAAAGTCAGGAAAATAATTCCATTCACAATAACTCCAAAAACAAAATAAAATACCCTAGGAATAAACCTGAACTACAAAGGTAAAAAACTCCTATGATGAAAACATTAAAACACTGAAGAAAAAAACAAATAGAAAAGGATGCTAACGATGGGAAAAACCTCCCATAAGCAATAACAGGTCTAGTGCAATCCCCATCAAATAAAGACATTCTTCATAGATATAGAAAACATTTTAAAATTCACAGGGGCACACAAAGAAAATCCAGATAGACAAAGAAATCCTGAACACTGAAAGCATCACAACACCTAATTTCAAATCTGTCACTACAGACCATAGTTACAAAAACCACACGGTGCTTGCACCAAAACAGATGCATAAACCGATGGGCTAGAACAGGGACCCAGAAACAAACCCACACGGCTACAGACAGACACCTTGCTTTGTTTGTTTTTTATAAAGAGGCCAAAGAAACACAAATCAGAGCAAAGACAGCATCTTCAACAAATGGTGCCAGAACACTGGATATCCTCATATTGAGAAGGAAACTCGATCCTGATTTCTCAGCCTGCACAAAAATCAGCATGGATGGAACACCTTGATTGACTTGAAATTCAAACTGCTAAAGTACCTCAAGGTACAGGCACAGGTGAAGACTTCCCGAAAGGACTCCAGCAGCTCAGGAATAAGAGCAGCACTGATAAATGGAATTGTATGAAAGCAAAAGGCTTCTGCACAACAAAACAATCAGCAGAATGAAGGCACAGCCTACAGAATGGGAGAAAAATCTTTCCCAACTATGTACTGATGAATTAATACCTAGAATAAATAAAGAACTAAAAAATATACACACAAACCCCCACAAATTACTTGATCACTACATAGATTAAAATTGAACAGACAATTCTCAAAAGAAAAAATACAAATAGTCAATAACTACATGAAAAAAAAAGTTTAACATCCTTAGTCACTAGAGAAATGCAAAGTAAAATTACACTGTGAGTCCATTTTGCTGGTTTTCACCAAGAAAACAAAGGTCAACAGTGGGCAAGGGTTGGGTGAGAGGCACTGTATGTTATAAACTGTTGTTGGGAGTGTAAATTTGTACAGCTACCATGCAAATTTGATCGAGGTTCCTAAAAAAAAGAACTTCTGTATGATTCATCTATACTTTCTGTATTTTCTGGGTATATACCCCAAAAACTGGGGATACCTGCACACTCGTGTTTATTGCTGCACTAGTCACAATGCCAAGATAAGGAACCAGTCAAGAAGTTCATCAACATATGAAGGGCAAAGAAAAGGTGATGCACATTCACAATGGAATTTTATTCAGCCATAAAGAGGAATGAAATTATGCTATTTACAAGAAAATAGATGGAACTGTAGATCAACATATTAGATGAAATAAGCCAGACTCAGAAACAAATATTCCATAGTTTTTCTCTCATAAGTGGAACCTAGAGTTACACAAGTAGGAGAGAGATAATGTGCGGGGTGAACAGGTCTTGGTTGGCAGAGTTAAAGTGCGGTAAAAATGAAAGAAAAAATATTGTATGTTTTCTCTCACATAAAGAATATAGATTTAGGGGCTGGAGAGATGGCTTGGTGGTTAAGAGCACTGACTGCTCTTGCAGAGGACCCGGGTTTGATTCCCAGCACCCACATGGTGGCTATGAACTGTCCTTAACTCCAGTTCCAGGGGACTCCAAAGCCCTCTTCTGACCTCTGCGGCACTGCACGACACGGGTGCACTCACATACGTGCAGGCAATGCACTCATACACATTAAAATAGTAATAATAATAATAATAATAATAATAATAATAATAAAAGAATATAGATTTAAATAGAAAGGGGAAGGGAAAGCGTTTAGGGAGAGGAAAGGGGGCAGGGGGCGACAAGGAAGGATAATTGGAGAGAATATGGGCAAAGTACAATGATATGCATGTATTGTATGAAAGTATAAAAAACCTGTATTTTGTATGCTAACTAAAAATTGATTTAAAAAGAATAATGAGTAAGCATAGAAACAGGTACTTAACTACTAGTCATCAGTGGTATGAATGTACATTAAATTCATGATGAAATATTATTTCACAACCATTAAAAGGGTTAAAATTAAAATGATGGGAAGAGTGTGGAGCAACTGGAATTTATGTGTACTGCTTGTGAAAGAGTAAAATGATCCACCATTTTGAAAAAAATTGTTTCTCATGAAATTCAACATGCATCTAACTCATGGCCCAGTAATTCTAACCATAGGTATTAATCCAGGAAAACTGAAAACTTGTGAAAACACAAGTCCACAAGAACATCATGTTTAAGAAGGTTCACAGAATCTGGGAGGAAGTAGTGCATCCCTGTAATCCCAGAGCTAGGAGGCAGAGACAGGAAGAGCAGCAGTTCAATGACACCAAAGACACATACTAAGTTCTAAGCCAGCAAGCCTACATAAGA